TATTATAATAATACAATTCATGTTTAGAAAAAGATTAAATGTTAAAGAACTGTTAATACAGACATTTGACTCTGAATACAGCGGATACAGAAGACTGAAGAAACCACATATAGTCACTCACTAGAGAATTTATTACTACTACTACTACTACTACTACTACTACTACTACTACTACTACATATTTTCTTCAGTGTTTCATTCTGCTCACTGGAGTAAGCACTAGAAATACAGCTAATTTCTGAGGTCCTTTCTATAACGATAAGGCAAACTGACTAAGGACTAATGTGAGGTGACTCAACTTGTTTTCACTTCAGAACTACTCAAGAACTCTGAAGAAAAAGAAAGGGCATGACTCTTTTAATTGTATGTATTTTAAATTATAGAGAATATTAGAACACTAGACCAAAACAAAAGCTATTTAATTTAGTGTTGTTTGTGAATTGGCCAATCAGTTGCTTAATGAGAAGCCCATCAGTAAGATATGATTGCACCATCTTGATTTTCAAGCCCCAGTGACTGATATACATAGCAAAGCCAGTCCTGACATTCCCTGCATGGAGGCTGTTGCCTTAGATGGTGGAGTGCTGGGGATTGCAAATGAGCTTCTCTCTTTTACTGTCACTATTGCCCCATGAGAACTCCCTCTGTTTCAGAGAGCTGCCACTGAGGGCAACTCTCCAATATCAACGTTCTCCATGGAAGGCTATGGCATTTCTACACCCTTCCATGCATGCTGTTGCCAGTGAAGGAAGAGGCAGGTGGTGCAGTGCAGTGACCAGCTTGAGTCAGAGGCTGTTAAATTTATTAAAATGCATGACTTCAAGAGGGCCTCTCGGAACCAAGGCAAATGGGAGGGAAATCCTGTGTGATGATATAATGCAATTTCTGTGGACATCACTGCCATCTGCCATGGCTCTGAAAGGACCCCTCAGAGCCAGGCCTTTTTAATAACTCAGCAGCTTGTAACTCAAGCAGATTTCCATACTACACTATGCAGTTCCCCTTCATCAGCAGTGGTGCAGGGAAAGGGGTGTGTGTATGATGCCTTCCTCTATAAGCTTGGGAAGTGCTGTGATGATAGCTGTGATGATGGGGCCTGCTTCTGACCCAAAACTTGAGAGCCTGGGTTGCTTCAACACAGAGACATACAGTCTCTGGTACTGGAGGAAATATATACCCATGGTAAGAAGCCACTGATAGTTTCACCATTCACAAATTTGCCCAGTCTTCTTTTAAAGCTGCCCAAATTGGCATCCATCACTACCTCTTGTAGTAGTGAATTTCACAATACAGCCTCATACTACATGCGAGAGGACACTCAGGAGCAATCATGTCTACCACTTGGGTCATCTCCTCAATCTAGGGATTAACTAGAGCTCCAGCATTCAGGAAATCACTTGGATCCATCAATATCCAGGGGTGAACGGTCTTAATTGGCATCTCCTGCAGGGGTTGCTCCTTTTCTATGCTACTGCCCTGGGCAGGGACTGTACCATTGCTCATCCTCATTTCTTCCTTGGGACTGCCACTGAGCTTAGCTGCTACTCTCTTCCATCGCTGTGTATATGGGGGTGAGGGTGAGGAAGGAAAGAGGTATCACTTGCCAGGATCCCCTACTCCTGCTGTAGGTGCTCCCATTAGGTAGAAGGGCAGGCTGCTGCTTCGTGCTACTTTATTATGGTCACTGACTAACAGAGATATTCAAATATTATAATATATATTAAGACTAAAATACAAATAAAAATATACAGTCTATTTTTGAGCAGAATCAAACCTTAAAAATAACCTTCTTATAGGCAAGGTGTGAACACATCAAATGCCAAGTGAATCTTTTCAGTTATGCTTCAGAAGCATCCACAACTGTGTCATTTTAACTGGGAAATGTTGGGGGAATTTTGCAAGTTCATGGGATAAGTACGATCAGATATTGTTTTACAGATATTTGTTCTATTTATATAATGAACTAATTCTGTCCCATTTTTAACACTAAAAACACTCTACTGCTTTGAATAGTATTAGATTTGTTATCAGCTAGGCTTTAACTGCTGTGGTATTATAATCCTAGACATATCTATTCAGAAGTCAGACCCACTGAATTCAGGGAACCTTACTCTCTGGTAAATGTACAAAAAATTGTAGCGTACTAGCCTTAATGCCTAGACGTTTTTCTAAGAAATATTTACTACAGCCACACTTTAGGTTCACTCTCACACAATGTTGCTGAAATAGAAACCAGGGATGACACCGAGGGTTAGCAGCCATTCTCACCAATCATCTTCCACCAACCCACCAGGGTCCTCAGTTTTCAGACAAAATATCCTCTGTATAAACGGATTTAATTCTGCTCACTCTCACAAACTAGTTTTTTTTTAGATTGCCCTAAGCCAACTAATATTCTTTCTCATCGACAGTTGACTTTATTTGCCTGCACAGTAAGATCAACTGAATATTCTCAACACTAATCTCCCTGTTTCTGTTAGGGCTCATCCACAGCCTGGTATTATCCCAGGTTGCCCTGAGGCTGTTCTGGGTCATTCCAGTATTTCTTACTGTAGATTTAATGGATCATCTTGGTATTTGCAATCACAACAGAGAGGGTATTTGTTGTGTCCAAACATGTAGAATTTGAACGTACTGGATTGCACTGGGTTGTTGTGATACCGTCTGTCCACACACATCCTGAATTGTTCCAAACACTGATAAATCTTCTCTTATCCGCGTTCTCCTTGCTCATTTCACTCTCCTTTCATCCCCCTTGCTTTATCCAATCATGTTCTCAAAACGTGTTTCACTGTATGAATTTCCCAATGTTTAACGTCTCTTTTTT